GAGAGAATGAGAGAGAGCGAGTACATGAGAGGGGGGAGGGTCAGAGGGAGAAGCAGACTCCCTGCCGAGCAGGGAGCCCGACGCGGGACTCGATCCCGGGACTCCAGGATCATGACCTGAGCCGAAGGCAGTCGCTTAACCAACTGAGCCACCCAGGCGCCCTGACACAGAAATTTTAACCAGACTGAACATGTCCCAAGGCTGGGGTCGAAGGGCGGGGCACGGTACTGGGCTATGAATTATCCTCAGGAAAGGGATTTAGTCACTGAGGAGTAAGAAGACAAATCTGGAATTCACATCACAAGAGCTAGAACTGAGGCTTGAAGCTGTGACTTCAGGGGATGAGGTGGGTCTGCCGTTCTTAGTGTCAAAATTTTAAAATGCTGATTTAAGACTTTTAAGATTCCAAACCCTTAAAGGGAATCTCCCTAAAACCAATAATCTACATATTTCTTCTCGATGAGTCTTAGAGCTACCCATAGGAATGACATCCTAAGAAGGCGCTGGAGGCTGGCTTCTCAGGATTGCTGAACCTTAAATGAGATCGTTACAGCTGCTTCTTGCTGTTTTATTTGTGTGCGTGTGCTTCTAATTTGGTCATTCGATTAATAGGTGATATTCATCCTGTTCCCAAGTTTCTAGATTTGTATCATTTTCCCGAGTTGAACGGATGCTGTGTGCTGTACAGTGTGAATGATAAACGTCCGGGGCTTGTTAAAGGCTGATGCCCTTCACCTGTGGAATGCTAGGAACCATGAAATCTTAAGCATATATTCAGGTCACCAAACTCCAGATTGTTCAGTCTGTATAGCTGTTGTGTTTGTTTTTTTTTTTAAACTGGCCCTGGTTTCTTTTGCGTACAGACCATTGTGCTGATGAGTGACCTGGCGACCACCCTGGACGCGCAGGGCCGCTTCGACGAGGCCTGCGTTTACGTGCAGAGGGCGTCCGACCTGGCCCGGCAGATCGAGCACCCCGAGCTGCACATGCTGCTCAGTAACCTCGCTGCCATCCTGATGCACCGAGGTAGGGCGCCCCGGAAGCCGGACTGCCCCGGCTTGAGGGAAGGGGGTCCCTGCAGGTAGGGATCTGTGAGAAGATTTTAGGGAGGGCAAGGGGCAGGCAGGAAGCTCCGGAACGAAGCAGCTGGCTGAAGGTCCCCAGCAAGGACGTGTGTTTGGATGAAGCATCGCTGTGTTTGGTGGCTGGGACTTGCCTGGCGAGCCCAGGCTGAGGGAGGCGGGCCCGGCGTCCAGAGGGCTGGCTGGCGGGACCTGGAGGAGAGGTGGGCTGTGCCGCGCCCCCCCCCCCCCCCCGTGGCTCTGGGAGCACACAGCGGGTTAGCTGCGTGCGGGCACGAGTGCTCACCCTGCGGAGTCTGGCAGAATCACTCGGAAAACCTGCATTTCTCTTTATTCTCCCTCTTTCTGGGTTATTTTAGAGCGATATGCACAAGCAAAAGAGATCTACCAGGAAGCGCTGAAGCAAGCAGAGCTGAAAAGAGATGAGGTTTCTATACAGCACATCAGGGAAGAGTTGGCCGAGCTGTCAAGAAAAAGTAGACCTTTAACTTAATTTGATGAAGCGCTAAATCCCTTTTTGTTGTAGGGCATTTTCAGCAACAGCGATTAGTCCGGTCTCAGTGACGCCCAAATCAATGGCTTAGATCCTTTCTCCTTGATATTCAAGTTTTGTCAACGTAGCTATGGTGAAGGACAAGTTGTATACACTGCCACTTTGTGTTTTTAAAGGAAAAACAGCTTTCACCCCTGGCCGATTTTGATTCTTAAGGACAGATGTCAAGTGATGCTTTCAGTCGTAACCTACTGGTGAGATGCCGTCCGTGCTGGTCTCGGTGGAACTGTGGATGGAGATGGGCCAGGTTTCCCTTGGGTGGGTGTGTGGTGAGTCAGCCAGGCATCTCTAGCCTAAGATTTTGATCCATTGATTCGCTACCCTCTTTTTCATTTTATCGCTATCTGGCAGATCAGAGCTACATGTCTCATGGCAAAGGGGGATTATGGTGAGTTATTTTTCTTCTCTCTTTCATGAAGCCCAGTGTGGGATGTAATGCATAGTGGAGCAAAAGTATTGTCTTGGTTTGCACCAGCGTCCAGCATGACGTTTTAAAGTAGGAATTAGGCCCTTGAAAATATACCCATTTAATTATAAGTAAAAGTGAACTGTATGTTTTTATATCTGGTTACATACGACTACGAAAAAGGGGAAAAAGGAATGATACGAACTCTTGTCGAAGCTGTTGGAGCACTCCACTTCCTTTGCAGCCTCGGTCCCTGACCACCAGGCTGCACCCCCAAACCTTCGGTCTCAGGGTAGGGCCTTACCAGTACAATATGTGAAGTCTCCCCAGTGATTCTGACATGTACTTGCTGGTACAGCAGAAGGATCACTTATCTGGATCCTAGTCCTGGCTTTTTGTGTTTGGGTCTCAGTATCCTCGTCTGTAAAGTAGGGGACCGATGAGGTTCTCTTTTAGCTGTAGGAGAACGTATTTGGTCAGATGACCTTAAATGACTAGATTACTGTGTTGAAAGAGCCTTATCACACTGCCTCAGAGTGCATAAAGTATAAACGTACGAGCTAGGCAGAAGGATGCTTTTACCTCCGAAGTCTTGCAAAGAGCCATTTGCCTGGGGGAAAGGCAGTTTTTGTAGGTGCCATGAAGGAACACTACTGTTGGTAAGCCTTTGGGGGTGGGGGTGTGAGTGGGAATGATAAACAGATATTTTTGTTTCCTGTGTACATACTGGAAGAATCCTTTCATAATAAACTAGAGACTCTACAACAACACTGTATGTATTCCGTAATCTTTGAATTTCTCACAAGAAATAACTTATTAGAGTCAAGAAGAAAACAAAATACTAGAAACCTTGAGGTCCAAATCCTCGGGGATTAGACTAAAACTAGAATTTTATATTTTGCAGATGTAAATTTCTTCCTGCTCTCTAAGCTCATCTCTTACCACCCAGCTAGCTCCTTTATTCAGGTCTAATGAGAAATAGAATATAAATCAGATTTTCAGTGCAACCCAGTCTTAATTTATTGGTTGGCCGACTTCTGAAAAATTGTCGTCAGCTACTCACCGTCTGCACTGAGAATGTTTTTACCTTTTCACAATTGCAGGGGTTACTGAAAGTTAGGTTTGTCACTCCAGGTTTTATTTAAGATTTTTCGATCCTCCACAATGATTTCAGCTCATGGTCCCATCCCGGTGCTGGAAAAACTGTAGGTGTTCTCAGAAAGACTGTCTCTTCATGTGGATATTTCCAAGAAAGTTCATTTGCACAGTTGTAAAAACAAGGTAGCAAAGCAGGAGGACCAACCCCTTGGCCTGACTTCTATGAATTCAAAAGTGAGTTGTTAGAAATAGTGTAGTTTGTCTGAACTATGTCACCAGAGTTTTCAGGGCATAAATATCTTAAAAATGGAACTAGCATACCAAAATTAAAGCATTAGGAAACTTCCAATCATGAACATGCACCGGAAACCTGGCTGTCAGAATACTGCTTCGCACAGCATCGGGAAGACCTTCATCTAGTTGTGGGGTGCTAAACACTCATGCATAAGGAGGCAGCTTTGGAACACTGAAATCTCAGCCCGCAGAGCATCATGCCTGGGTTTACAGCCGCCAGCCGCCAGTCCTCGGTCCCTCTCGGTGCCGTTCCGGTCCTGCCTCGGTGGACGGCCACCCTCCCAGACGGTTTGCTCCGTAGGTAAGCCACGTGTGAGTTCTGTCCTTTCCATGTTCTGCACTAAGAAATGGTCCTGCGTTAGCTCTTGTCCACGCGTGGCAGGCGGAGTGGTAACGCACATGCACTGTGAGGAGCAGGGCGTGAGGGGTCCTCAAGTGGAACTGCGAAAGTAAAAGGTTAGGCTCTCAGCCGACATGTTCGCAAAAACTGTTCTGATTTGGACCTTCAGGGTCCTAGAAAAATAGCATTATCATCATCTCGTTTGGGTCTGTTGACACTAAGTTATTAACAATATCTAAGATAGTAACTGTTACGTAGAACATTTACTGTGTATGTATGATAGAGCAGTACCAACTTTCCAAGTAGAAGGAATCGGATCACTCACCCTGCTCTACAGTTTATCGTGAGGACCTGAAGTCTCCGGGAGTGGAACAGCAACAGGAGTGAAGGCTTGAACTTCAGACACACGTGGACTCGTGGCCTTTGTAGCTTACTGAACTGTGTGGGCAAGGTCCTGAGCCAGTGCCCTCATTACCAAAACAGGGATCAGACCCCCAGGGCGAAGGGCCACGTGAGGGCCTCAGGCACGCCTGTGAACCGCGCACTACAAAGGAGGCTCTCAGTCAGTGGTTATTGGATACCTGCTTTGTCTAGAGGCTTGAGGACTTTTGTTAAAAAGTTTAGATCTACTTAGTCCATAAAGTGCTAAGTTGTATCATCGGGAGAGCCCTCCGTCTCTCCCCTTTCTCATCTTCAGTGGCATCTTTCCGAAACGGTCCCTACCCTCCTGCTACAGAAGGATGCTTCAATGCTATGCTTAAGTTGTATGGGAGGAAAATCTCACAATTCAACAAGCAGTTATGAAGGATGAAACGTACCCTCCAGTACCATAATTAGTTTGAAATTCACTCTTTTAAAGTATTTGCTCCTTGAGATTCAGTGAAGTGAAAAGAGTCAGCAATAAACTCTCGCCCACAAGGAATCAAATGGAGCCCTGGCACGTGGCAGACGGGCAGGAACCAAACTGCACGTTCGCTGTGAGGCCTCGGGATACAGAACACAGCGAACTGAGCAGACGAACATTCTACACAGATTGTTACCTTCTAACTCAGCCAATACCGAGCCACCTAAAGACAAGATACTAGTTTTTCCTTTGAAACCTGAGACATCAAGAGCCTTAAATCACACATGATCTATGTGGCTATGGACAGGGTAGTCAAATTTATTTCAAAACAAAAGCTCTGTTGGGCTGCATCAGATGCAGAAGGAAAAGAATACTTAGGGGCGTGGCTAAGTCACCAGTGTGCATAACAGTGAAGGACGCCTCAAATAAGCCTTTTTTTTTTTTCAACTTTAAAAACTGAACTATAACATACCCATGCAGTAATATTTTTTCAGTGCTACTAATCGAAAAAAATTAAAGCCTGCACTGGAAATTTACAGTATGGCAGAATTTAGTTTCTCTTACCTTTGACCCTAATAACGTAATGTACAGATTTTATGCTAGGGTCTGTGTTAAAAATCTAAACATTTCCACAAGATCTGAAACATCACCGGAAATCTGAATTTAGAAGAAACAAAACTGGATAAAAGTACAATGCCCGTGACAGCCAACATTATGTAACTGGGCTGTATGAGGTCGTTTAGAAGGCAAGGGTTAAAAAGATAGGTGCGGAGTTTGTTTTCTTAAAATTACCCCCAAAGTTGATGCGCTGATTTGAACATAAGTACACCAGATACTACAGCAAGGGGAAACACTGCAAAAAAGGTCATCTATTTACAGAAGAGTGATTTAAAGACATTATGGTTTTCTTTACAAACAGATGTAAGAACAGGAATTGTCCACTTTTTAAAAACTCTACATTTCAACCCTCCACTATTAGACTGCACCAACTGCCTGGAGCAAACGCAGCCCCCCACCCCTCCCCCCATTTGATTCTCCAAATAAATTTCCATCATTTCATCATCACCCGTGGTCCAGGCTCTCCAAGTCTCTGGGCACAAGTCAGAGGAGGACAGGTTTTTGACCCGCCGTTAAAAAGAAAACCACCCGCAACGAGAGCTGCCCGCCCGCACCCCTCTCTGGGCGGTTCAGTCGTCACTATCGGACAGCGTCTCGTACTGTGCGGAGAGCAGTGGCGCTGGCTCCCGCTCCCAGATCCTGTTCTGTTGGTGCGGGGCCGCTTGGTTCACGGAAGAGGGGGCGCATGCGATCGGCGTTGGTGGCGTACTGCTGAGCATCCGCATAGTCAGAGGGTTATATGGAAACTGAGTTGAGCCTGACGAAAGAAAAAGTGTTTTCACTGTCATGAGCACAGCTAGGGTCCCACACAACTTCCCAGGACGGAGGAAGACGCGATTATTCTACCGGCATGGTCTTGTGACACCAAGAGTGGAATGAAACCGTGTGCAAGGGCCGAGGTTTCACGACCTAGAGTGTAGCCTATGACGAGGCCCCCAGCGGTGAGAATCTAGAAAGGATGCGTGACCCGAGTACAAGCACAAGCTTAGTGTTGCTGAGCCCAGACATGAAAGAAAGCTCAGGGCTGAGTTTTGTGTGAAGTCTAGAACGGGTGTTTCTGTGGAGAATCCCCGGGAGAACTACTGCACTTTAAGCCCTAAGAGTCTGCCCCGAGAACTTCTGGACTCTTAGAGCTAAAGGCAGGAGAACAGTGCTCCGAGGACGAAGGTCCGGGGGCGGCGGGACGCGGGCCATCTGCTGGAGCTCACCAGGTACAAGATCTGGAAGAGGGGTATGTGATCCTAACAAGAGCACTGCTACCTTCGGCCACTACCTCGACTGTTCCATTGTCCCCGGAAAGCCTTTTACAGCTTAAGAAACTCTAAAAATGGAAAACGAACCATTTTATCAAGTCATTAGTTTCACGAATTAACTGCTTCCCTGAGTGATGGGAGAACAATCATTGGTGTAGGTGAGAAGTTCTCAAACTAGTACGCACTTTGCATTTGAGGTGAGAATTGCGTCAAGCAAAGGCCTTCAGTTATGCTGATATAATATCCACATGAAATTTATATACTCCTAAATTAAGGGGGAGAGCACATTTCAGATTTTTTCCACTGACGTGTATTTAACTTCTAAAAAAAGATGGCTTGTAATTCTGTGAAACCCTTAAATCTACACCATATACCCCAGTTTTATTTTTTAAACAACAAAAAAAAGTAAAGTTTGTTCCCTTTCAGGACTATCATTATTGTGGTTATTAGGTTTGAAAAAAACTTACAAGCAAGCACAAAATGGGAAACATTAATAAATATCCTAGAATACTGTTTTTCATCAGTCTGTATAAACCTAGCCTATGAGAGAGAGGATGGCTTTTTACACTATTCCCCTTTCTTACTTTGATTTCTCAGTATTTCCCTAAGAACCTTCTCTAAGAATGTCTGTATGAGAGGCTCCAGGCGGCGCGTGGCAGTGGCCCCCTGCACCCAGGTGCGGTTCAGGGAGGAACTGAAAGGCTGGGCTCCCTCGCCCTGCGCTCTTCCTCTGTTCCTGGTAATCACACATTGCATTCTTTAAATTTTTAAGATTCTATGCATTCAGTTTCTGTTCTGGAAAGTGGAGCCTACTGACGGAGTGGTGAGGTTACCAAGGTTTCCGATTTTACAAGAAGTACCGACCAAGGCACGGATAAGAATCACCTGAAGACTCCTTTTCTAGCAGTAAGTTCCTCACCTGTTGAAGAGGGCCTGTCTTCCCAGGCCCACCCTGGCGTCTGCCTGTGGTAATCCCCTTCTGAATGTACAGAGGAGACGGAAGAGGGCCTCTCAGTTCCTAAGTAGCCTTGCCCAGGGATAGGAGATTTAGATTTCCTGCTGTTTGACTTGCTGATCAGCTTTGGTTTGCAAACTCCTCCTAAAAGTGAAATAAATTAACTATTGACACAGAGTAATTATGTTCTCAACTTAAAAACCTACCAAAATGCTGATGATTATATAATGCTAAGAGAAAGAAGCAGAATGGTAGGTAGCATGAAGAATCCAGATCCTAGTACCCTATGAAGTTAAAAAATTAATATTTAAAAGCCAGAATTTTCTTGTAGCAACTAAAGCAAAAAGGGTATGTCCTCGTGCCATAAA